ACAGTTTGCAGGATAAGGAGGTCAGCTGGAGGGGGATACATCCACCAATTTTTCCTTGACATTTGAAAAGATGGGAGCTAGCGTTTACACTTCCTAGCTTTTATATTTAAAAAACTAATCCATTGCCTGTCATGTTTTGTCATCAATACTTGTCCTTGTTTTATCAAAACTGGAGCCTGTTGCTGTCGATTTCCAACAGGAGGAGGTGGAGAGAGAGAGATGCAGTTCGTGCAGTTGATGAGATGTAGCTGCAGGCATTCTTCAGCAGCTCTATTCTGGCCATCTAAGACCAATCTAAGCAGAAGGCAACATTCACTCCAAAATGGAATTGTAACTCCATTCATGGTTAGTTGCATTTCATTCAGAAAGTTGACTTCCCTCTCTCTCTCTCTCCTTCTCTCTCTTCCTGTGTAAACATACCTTTCCAATAAACAGATGTAGATTGCCCGTTTGATAAATAGGCAATTCTCCTGCCACGTTTTTGATGGATTGATTAAAAGCTCATTGCTTTGGATTGCCAAACTACCCATCAATGTATCTCTTTAAAAGAGTAACTTATTGGTTGTTGTGGGTTTTTCTGGCTCTTTGGCCATGTTCTGAAGGTTGATCTTCCTAATGTTTCGCCAGTCTCTTTAGAGGTCCTCTGAAGATGCCGGCCACAGAGACTGGCGAAACATTAGGAAGAACAACCTTCAGAACACGGCCAAAGAGCCCGAAAAACCCACAACAACCATTAGATCCTGGCCGTGAAAGCCTTCGCAAAAACAGAGTAATTTATGTTAGATAGGTGGCAACCGAATCACAGGAATCCCATGAAAAGATCGCATCATCTTGGGAGCTATAGGGACTTAAGCTGGAATTCCATTTTCTTGCTCTATTTTGCATTGACTGGTAAAGTTGTTTTGGAATCTGGGCTTAGCCACAAAAAGTCACTTCCAAAAATCTTGTCCCATTTCCCCAGTGTAAGAAAAGGAGCAAGGGGATATGGGTCCACCTTGCCATGAGGAAAGGCGTATCTAACCATTTGGGCACCTGAGGCAAGAAGATCCATGTTCCCTCCATTCCCCCCTGGGGTGTGAGTGTTGGCCCCCCTCAAGAACGAGGAGGAGAAGAAAGGCTGGCCCTCTCCAAAAAGAAAGGGGACACTTCAAAAAAGAAAGGGAAAATGGATCTATTCTGGAGGTGTTGCTACATACCATATTTTCCGTGTATAAGACTATACTTTTGTCTAAAATCTTTAGACTAAAAATTGAGGATCGTCTTATACACGGAAGTAAGCTGAGGAGAGAACAAAAACAAATGAATAGGAAAGCAGGGATCAAAGCGATCCTGCAGCACTTTGATCCCTTTCCCCCTACACTTGCTAAGTCCCACTTAGATTTCTTAATTTTGGATTAGAAAATTGAGGGCATCTTATACATGGAAAAATACGGCATATCCTTAACAGCAGTAGATTTGGTTCAAGAGTTTGCTGCTCTCAGATTCTGTTACCCAGGGGGCAAAGCTCAAGTTCCCCTTCTCTGTTTGCAGTGCTTGGCATCAGGATTGTGGACAGTGACCCCCTTTCTCAGATGCCTTTGAGTGTCTGAAGTCCAGAGAAGATGATGCCAAAGGAAGCCT